AGCAGCAGCAGCAGCAGCAGCAGCAGCAGCAGCAGCAGGAGGAGGAGGAGGAGGAGGAGGAGGAGGAGGAGGAGGAGGAGGAGGAGGAGGAGGATATGCAGCAGGAGGAGGACGAGGAGGAGGAGGAGGAGGGCGAAGGGTGGCGAGTGCTCCGGTTATGATTCCGACCTGAACCCCCCTGGAAGCCTGGCGGGATGCCCGTCCTGCGTGGTCTGGGCGGTGTCCCGCTCCCTTGACTTGGCCACGCGCAGAGGGGGGTATGTGGTAGGGGTGCGTAGGGGAAGGGGCGTTCGGGCTTTTCGATGTTCTCGAGCGGTTTCGTTTGTTCTCGACGGCTTTCCAGCCTCGGCGTGCGTGCCAGCAGCTGCGCCTCGCCGAGGGCGATCCGGGGGTGCCCGGATCGTCCCGAGCGGCCGCCGGAGACCCGAGGTGTGTCCCGAACGCCAAGCTCGCCCACGCGCAGAGGGGGGTAGGGGGAGGGGGAAGGGCTCTTAGAAGCACCCCTGCTTCTTGGAATGCGCGGGTCTTGTCTTCAGATGTAAGGCAGGCGTTTTTTCTAAGGAGCAGGCTCATTCTAAGAAACCTGCCCCCCCTCCCCCATACCCCCCTGTCATGGCGCCAACATCGCAGAGCGCATTTCGCTCGGAAAACATGGGATGGGCCTGGGTAGCCCTTGAGAACTTCATTCCGGATTTCGGAGTGAATATTGTGCGGATTTTTGCTGCCCAGGAATGAAGACTACAGACAAGCCGTGTGAAATCCACCTCGTCTTTCGCTCGCCGTTTCGGGGTCTTGCCTTGACAGTGATTCGCGCGAACATCCGCTGCAGCACGTCTGCCAGGTCGGTGCAGTGACCCCTGTGTGCGCTTCGCCGGAGTCCAGGGGGACGTCCGTCCTGCGCGGCCTGGGCGGGCCCCCGCTCCCCAGATGCAGTCTGGTGCTCTCGGTATCGGGGGCCCCCAAACGGGGTGTTGACCACACCGTGTGGTGCGTCGGTGGGGATTCGGGGTCACCGCACGGTTTTGGGGCTCGGGTCCCTCTCCGAGGCTGTCTCGGGCGACGGGGGGCCTCCAGGGTCCCAAGACCGCGCGGTGGCGGACCGTGCGGTGAGGTCTCTCGGGGGATTTAGAGGCCTCCGCACGGTCTGTCACCGCACCGTCTCGGGACTCCAAACATAGTAAGCACGGGTGCAGTTCGCGACCCCGACGCCTTCAGCCGTGGGTGCCCTGCCTCTCCCTCGGCCCTCGGCCTCCCAGGCGGGGTCGGAGCAGATGGGGTCGGAGGATCGCGCCGCCTCGCCGGTGCATCGCCGATGCGCGGCTCGACGTGCAGCCCGATTTGCTTCGCGTCGACGTCGCCGAGGCGTCGCCAACATCGACGAGGCATCGCCCGCGCATCGCCGATGCATCGCGGGTATATCGGCGATGCGGTGCGATCCTCCGACCCCATCTATTCCGACCCCATCGAGGAGACCTCTATATGCGGCCGCTTCCCCTCATCCCGCGCGCCCTCGTTCTGCAGCGGGGCAGTTCGCCAGTCGCTCGTCCCCGACAGCTCGAGCGCCTGTGTGGATTGCCGCTGCCGTGCTGCGACGTAAAAGAGCAGGTCGCGATTTCACAGATCACGCACGTGACGGACACGGTTGCCCCAAAATCCTGGGCGGAACGCGCGCGCATCCCCCGATCTGATTGCATCTTGCCTTGGGCCGCCTTGAAGCCTCGCGCGTACCCAAGGTACCTGTGTGTTGCCGCCAGACCTGTCCGCACATCAGCGACTCTTTCTCAACTTTGGCCCGAAGTTGATTGGCGGAATCTGTGGGGGCCTCTGGAGCGATTCTGGGTTGTTCCACAAGAAACCCAAACCTGAGACCCAGGACGTCCATTGATTTTTGGTGTGGCAACGTCACGCTTTCCATCCCAGACCATCAGCGCCCGGGGAGCCCAGGGCACCTGCGAGGCGAGCAGGGTTTTTCTTGGCAGGGGCCTCCACAGTGTTGCCGCCGTGCCGTCGAAAACGCCCCGGAGCTCTGCCATCCCTCCCGCTTGACATACAGAGCCCGCACAATGGCACGAGGTCCGCGCCACAGCGGCCCCCCTGGGGGGGGGGGGGCGTGGGCTCCGGCGGTGCTGGGCCCCCCCCCGTACCCCTCGGACAAGCCTGACAGTCAGCATCGTTTCACCGATCCCCATCCCCATCCCCAGGCGCATCTCGAGCTCGCCACTGTCTCGCCACCTCCGTCGGGGTAATACGCCCCATCGAGAGCCCCTTATCCCCCTCTCCAGGGTGGCAGGCCGGCCCGCGGGGCCCGGCCCGCGCCGGTGGGGATGGGGATCGGTGGAACGAGGCTCACAACAGGGCACCCTTTAAAACGACGCGAAGATCGGGACAAAATCGGATCGGGAGAACTCGAAATCTCTGAGAATCGGCGGATTTGGAGGATGTATTGGACGCCGCGGCCGCTCCAGAGCGTTCCGGAACGCTCTGAGAGCGCTCCGGAACGCTCTGGAGCGATTTACCCCGATCCTAGCCCTGTTTGACCCTTCCTGCGTGGCCTGGGCGGGATCCCGCTCCCCCGACGGACTTCAGCGTCATAGGTTTGATGAGAGCAGGCCGCAGATCCCCCCGCGCAGGGAGGAGAGGGTGCCCGCAGATCCGCTCCCCCCCGTGACCCGTCGGAAGAGGCCAACAGGGCACCCTTCCTGCGTGGTCTGGGCGGGCTCCCGCTCCCCTGACGGGTTCGAACGTCATCGTTTTTTTTGTGCAGGACACAGATCCCCCCGCGCAGGGAGGACAGGGTGCCCGCAGCTCCCGGGCGGGATGCACACATCCCGCGAGGCCGCTTCAGGCCCTCTCGGAGTCTTTGTGCGCACCCAGGGAACCTCTTGCTGCGACGAAGCATGTTATGCTCAAGTCGGGCATGTCCCTCCGAGGTGCATCGCGCGGCGGCCTCCAATGCCCAGTTGCCGCCCAGAATGCCGGGCTGGCCTGGTGGCGGGACTTGCCGCAGGCAGCTGGACACTGCGCGAGTCGCGGCGCACGCAGGTACGCGCGATTGCGGTACACCACACATGAACTGAACGAGTAGCGTGACATGGGTCGGGCATGTCCTCCTACAGGCGGATTTTGACATAAACATGACGTTTTTGGTTTCATTGAAAAACGTCCCCAGACCATTTTTGTTACTATGTTTGAAAGGACGGTATTCATGACGAGACGATGATGGTGATGTTGCCGCTGATAATGATGATAAAGATGCTGACGACAATGATTCCGATAATAGCTTTGATGCAACTACAAAATCACCAGCATCAGATGATGCTGGTGATTATCATGATGCTGTTGATGATGATGTGTAACATGATGATGTTGATGATCATGATGTTTATGTTGGTGATCATGATGCTGACGATGATGACGACGATGATGCTTATGATGATGCTGATGATGCTGCTGCTGATGATTAAGGTGATAGTGATAATGTTGATGACTAGTATTAATCTTCTGCTGATGATGGTGACGATGCTGATAATGACGATGCTGATAGTGAATGTGAGTATGATCATGGTCATGCTGATGATGAGGCGGATGGTTTTGGTGGTTGTGGTGGTGATGCTGATGAGGATGATGACGATGCTGATGATGATGGTGGTGATGAGGATGACGGTGGCGATGATGATGAGAATGCTGAGGCTGATGCTGATGGTGAGGTTGATGATGATGACGATGCTGCTGATGATGGTGATGATGATCATGATGATGAGGATGCTGAGGCTGATGCTGCTGACGATGTTGATGATGATGCTGATGACGCCGCTGCTGCTGATGATGATGGTGATGATGATGATGATGATGATGATGATGATTACGACGACGATGGTGGTGCTGACGATTCTGACGATGATGACGATGATGACGATGGGGATGATGATGCTGTTATTCTCATGATGATGATTATGATCCTGATGCTTCTGGTTATGCTTATCGTTATGTTTATGACAATGAACATGGTAAGGATGATGACGGTGCTGCTACTGATGATGATGGTGATGATGATGCTGGCGATGATGATGACGATGATGATGACGATGATGACGACGGTGATGATGATGATGATGATGATGGTGGTGGTGGTGGTGGTGGTGATCATGGTGGTTATCATGATGATAATGGCGATGGCGATGAGGATGATGATGCTGATGATGCTGATGCTGCTGCTGATGATGGTGGTGATGATGATGAGGATGATGATGATGATGATGGCGATGATGCTGATGATGATGCTGATGATGATGATGATGATGGTGATGATGATGATGATGATGATGATGATGATGATGTTGGTGGTGGTGGTTGCGGTAATGATGATGCTGATGATGAGGAGGAGGATGATGAAGATGAGGATGGGGATGGGGAGGGAGAGGAGGATGAGGAAGAGGAGGAGGATAAGGATAATGAAGAGGAGGACGAGGAGGAGGAGGAGGAGGACGGGGGAAGACTACTGATAATCATAAGGATCATCATAGCGTTAACAAATACTTTTATGAAATAGTAATGCGAATGAGCATGATATGACTGCTACTAGTAATACTGTTAATCATATCAATAATACGCATACGAGTGCTATTACCATTGTTATTATTATCCATACAAGTACGGTTCGTCCTGTGGCTGTCTTGGCCTCCTGTGAGCAGTTTTGGGCCCCCGGGGGGCAATCTTGGGCCGTTTTGGGACCCTCTCAGGCCGTCTTGAGGCTCTCTTTGGACGTCTTGGGGACCTGTTTGCTGTATGGTGGGTGCCTGGGGGCCGTTTCGGCGCCGTCTTGGGCAGTCGACTGGCCTTCTAAGGCTGTCTTGGGTCCCACGGGGGATCACGTGAGGCCTTCCTGGGCCGTCTTGGATCGGTTTTGGATGCCTCGTGGGCCCTCGTGGGGTCCCCTTGGGCCATCTTTGGACCCTGGTGGGGGCCTCTTGGGCCGTCTTAGGGCCATCGGGGAGGCTTCT